ATTATATGGCACACAGTCCACAGGATTTCCTATTGGAAGTAGCCTGAGGGGGAATTCCAAACAGAAGCCATTTTCTCCCTGTTCTGCATTGATAACCAGACTGTATTCACCAAGTAGGACCTTGGACAGCATCTAGTTAGTTTCTCTCCTCCGATTGCCTGTCATTCATTCTGTCAGTCCTGAGCTTCGGGCTGTCCTGCACCGTTTGAATCACACTCTTTCTGCACTTTCTCACTGACTGCAAGCTACTGTCATCTCACTGTCTGACCTTACACACAGGAGAGCAGAAACCAACAAACCACCTCAGCTCCATCACTGTCTAGTGATTATTACTTAATTACTTAAACCAGCATATTCTGATAGCAAATCTTATTTTTAGGGAAAGCCATATTAATACATTTTACCAGAGAAAATAATCCTGAAATTTAAAATACAGATGGAAAATACAGATGGAAGGAAAATGAAAAATAATATAGAAATTGGAATTTTAAAAAATGTATAAGTGGATATGAAGCCTCATATCTGTGCATAAGCACTTGATTCCTCACTTTTTTTTCCAAAAAATAAAATAAAATGATATCTTTGTCTCTAAATGTTGTCAGGGCTTCATATGGAATGTACTGATATAGAAGTCAGAGTGAAAAATAATGCCAACTTTGGTAGAATTTAACTTATTTCATAAACAGTCATCCAACATGTAATGTGCTAGTGTTTTAAATGTACATCCTCAGCCTGAATTTTAAACAATTCAGTTAGATATATTAATAAGAGCAGTAGAGTAAATACTTCATTAAACAACCAGAGCAAACAATTAGGGCCAACCTTGCCTTTATATAAATCTTAGAAATTTTGGTATCCCTCATTACAGTAAAGTTTGCATCACCCAAATTCTAGATTATATCCATATTCTACTCAAAGTCATACACACACAAAAATCCAGGACAACATCCAGGGATTGGCAGACTTCTCTTGCCATAACTGAAATCATTATGATCCCACCTCTAGCAAGGTGAAAGTCACTGCTTACTAAGAAGACCATAGATTAGATGTCAACTTCGACCACAAAGCACTTGGATGATCCTTGAAATTCCTGGCCGAAACTATCACTGTGTAGCATACAATTACATCTTCTGGTTTTCTTTGGTATTATAAGTGTAGTTAAGATTTCAGGAAAACTGCAGCACATACAGAGAAATTTGTTCCTTTCCATCCTCCGCTCACTCCTTTTGAAATATGTTCCTCTCCCATGTAGCTACGAGTAATAACAAAAGCACTTTCCATTTGTATGTCTCCTTTCATACTGGAATCACCAACACAGCCACTGTGTATTTTGGCTCACAGATTGGGTCTGTAGGAGATGACCAAACTGAGACTGAGGAAGGGGTCAAGTGCATCATCACTTTGGAATCCCTTCATACCCACAAATGATCTAAGTTCAACCCCCTGGAATTACATTGACTCTTATTTACCACCAATCTCCTTGACCATTAGTAGTTCAGATTCTTGTTTAGAGGTAGCCTGGAATAAACTTGCACTCATTTGAAGAACCTTAGTTCCTAATTTCTTGTGCCTGACAGGGCCCTAATTATATGAACCATAAAAGTGATAGTTTAACTAGTAAATTAGGATTTTATATTAGAACCCCCCTTATACAAATTTCTCCAAATCAACAGGATAAAAAGTCTTAGACAAATACATGTCCCACTGGCTCAAGTCTTGTGAATATGGATGAAATTCAATGAATCTCTCTAACTCATCTCATAAATATGAATCTTCTGATCTTTTCCAGCAACAGCAATGATGTATACACAGTGATTTAGACTTCTACTCATGGGAGTCTTCTTTCTGACTAAATTGAAGATATCTATCATTTGCATAAACTTCTGTACAAAAATTTTGTAAAAGTATTTCAGCAAGACCTTGTAAGTATCCACTGTCCAAGTTTACCTGCTACAGCCTTATTCAACAGGCTTTTCCTCCTGCAAAATAACACCTGTGACACTGCGACACTGTGAGCATTCTTGCACAAGAGCCCACACAAAAGCAGCTCGAAAACATTTTCTTCACACATCTTTGAATCCAAATGGATAGGCCCGGTGATTTAACAGTGTATGCACAGATGAAATAGGTTGGCACTCACACAAGGGAGAATTTCCTAAACACACGTCCCACTGGGATTTGTTGAGTCATTTTTTTTGTTACCCATCCTGTACATTATGTGGCTTAATTTTTTAAATTAGATTTCTGAAGCATCGCAATCATGGGAGACTTGGTCGTGTACACACAAAACAATTACAGTAAAATAATATAAAATTAAAAACAGTGTAATGAAAATATACAAAATAAAACAATGTACAACTATATGAGATACCAATGGCATTATCCAACTAGTTTAACTGCTGCTAGGATTCCTAACAAGGTTGGGACAAGTCTAATTTCTTAGGGGAGGCCATGTCAGGTCTAAATAACCGAGAACTACATGTGAATAGTTCCTTTATTGTTGCTCACTTACTAACAGAAACTTGCCAGATTAAAGCAATTATCTGCAATAACTATAGATATATTCTGTGAATTGCTAGGGAGGGTTCAACCTTGCTTTCTTCCTGCCCACTAGTCATTCCAAGCTTCGGAGCTAGGGGTTGGCCCAAATCGGTCCAAACTGGGAGAATCCCAGTGGGGACTATTATAAGAAGCACCTACTCTTGTGCTCCTCCCCACTTAACAGAATGACAGAGTTGAAGGGACCTTGGAAGTCTTCTATTCTAACCTCCTCGTTACAAGCAACTTCTCTTTGGATATTTGTGTCAGGTAAGTCAATCCTAACTAAAAGAAGATGATCCTGAAGATACCATGGTGCCAAATATTAATTGCATTAGGCTGGGTTCATTGTTATAGACTTCAATTCCTAACCTTTGAGTTAAGAAAGTTGTGCATTTTATTAACTGTTGTAATTTTGTACCTAATCTTTCTATATTAATCTGTCTCCTATAAGGCCAAGTTCCCCCAGTATTTCAAATCAATAAGGCATAAATTCCTCTATATCCTGTATCAAATTCCCACCCACTAAACTACTATTTCTTACCTTTTTTGTTCTGGAGGTGGCTGAGATTTGTTATCTTTCCTCTTTTTGGACTCCTTTTTGGAATCCTTTTTGGCCTCTACCTCAGAGGCTGGGGGGGTATTTGCAACTGGCTGTATGCCACCAAGTATCTCTTCCATTGTTTGACTTTGGAGACGTTGAGTTTTAAATTAAAACATAAAAAAGGATAGGATAGCGAAACAGAAAATGAAAGCAACGAAGTGTTGTTACGGAAGAAACAAAAGAAAGCAAGGTAAAAATTAAACGTTAAACAATAAAACAATAACAATAGATGCCAACAATTTGTCAGCAAAAGAAGAAAAGGAAATCAGAACCCACAAAGAAAAGAAGGCAAGCTGAATGCTGTAATGTAACGAGATGGATCGAGCGATCTGTGTCTTGAGTGGCAGCCACACAATGTAAAATACCAGCAATGTGTATAATAATTCATGATGATGTTTACCAGAGAGCTTACAAAACACTTCATTATTTTATAACACTCTGTTATGCGGTAGCATATGTAGAACAGAGTGTGAAATCTCACTGTATAGAACATAACTTCCAAAAAATAAATCCATCGGTGCACAAAATGCTATACTAGTCTATACAGTTAGGAAACTTCTTTCTGTAACACTTTCAGATTTAAAATGGGCTTCAAATTCTGAAATAAGTTTGAAAGTTTGAAATACATTTTTTTAAAAAAAGTCATTTCAACTTGAATCTAACTCTGATCTGTTACAGCAAGGTTAACTGGCATAACAAGGCGAACGAAATACATTTTGAGCCTAAAAGCATGCAAGTCTCGGTACAAAAGGAATCTGATGTAGCCTAAAACATGGGCCGTTCTTGGTAAGGCATTTAGAAATGATGGCTTCTTTAGTCCAGCCAAAGTAGAGAGGTATATAAAATTGCTGCACGCACATATTATATTACTGTGGAAGGAATCCTGTGTTATTGTTAATCTGTTATCATGACGTAGAAGCTTAAGAAGTAAGCAGAATGAACATACTGGATTACAGAAGTTAATGCTTTCTGCAAGTGTTCAGCCCACACAAAGAAATCTTAAAGTGGGATGGGGAGGAGGAAATGTGTTCAAAACTCTGGCTCCAAAATTTTCTTCTTTAGGGATTCTCTGTAATTCTGAGTCTATTAAATACTAAACTGTGAAAAGATTTTATGAGCATTTAGTTGATCTCCATGCCTGAAGATCTCATGAAGTATTATTCCTATTGACAAAGAGATACTCAGCTTACAAACCCCATGCAGCACAAAATGTTGTTATGTCATTTCATTTTCTCTCTTAAGTCCTGTAAAGGGTTTAAGAGAGTCCTTACATTATTGATAAGGATCTGAAGAAAAGGAAGACAGCTACTACATTTCATTTACATTTTGCACCTTCTTGTGGTGCAATCAAAGGATTCAAATGTCTACAAATTTTTAACTGATTTAAATATTTTTTTTTGTTTTGAGTTTTTCTCCATCACTCTCAAACCTGAAATACACTTTTTCAACCAATTGCAGTGCACAAATTATTTACAAGAGTACAAATTATTTACAACAAGAGCATCAAAGTGTTCAGTTGTTTTACTCCCACATAAGAAGTTCTCATTCTTCCCATGTCTTAATCTGCATTCTTATATTGATTTAGCACATCCAGTTCCTTATCTCAGTTATTCAACTGTTTCTTCATTGGCAGAATTCTTTAACTTATGGTTTTTTCAAAGTGGTTCAAGCATTAAAAGGTGGACTTTGGTTTTGTGGGGTGTTACCTTTTTTTTTGGACAAGAACTGTATGCTATTTGCAATAAAGTAAAAAACAAAAAACCATAAATTATGAGTACAGTTATGCATTATACAAAGAAACCAGCATTTCAAAAAGCAATGTTACCAAAATGGCTGAAACACATCCGGTCCACCTTACCTGTTGCCGTGAACATGTGATGCACAAAAGGCAAAACTGTAATGCAGTAAGGTGGGATCAATCATGGCTCCATTTTCTGCTCTTTCAAGCAAATCACCGAGATAGCAGAGATGCCTGTGACAGCCTCTGACTCCATTACGTGCACAGTATTCATCTAGGACAAAGACTTGGCCAGGGCTAAACCAGCCCTGTAGGTAAATAGAGAAAGTTTGTGTCAAATGTAGATTTTTTTAAAAAAGACAAACCAGTCCACAATGTATGAAAATCAAATTAGGAATGGAAATGAAATATTGATGTTGATTACATTTATTAAAACAGGAATGTGTAGAAGCGATCCGACTTTCTACAATTACATTTTGGTTTGAAAAACCAACTTGTTCTTTTCTTGATGTCGTAGCATAAAAAACACAACTTTTAGTAGGTGCACCATGATAGCAATAGCACTTAGACTTATATACCACTTTGTAGTGCTTTACAGCCCTCTCTAAGTGGTTTTACAGAGTCAGCCTATTGCCCCCAACAATCTGGGTCCTTATTTTGCCAACCTCAGAAGGATGGAAGGCTGAGTCAACCTTGAGCCTGGTGGGATTTGAACTGCCAAATTGCAGGCAGCTGGTAGTCAGCAGAAGTGGCCTACAGTACTGCACTCTAACCACGGCACCACCGAGGCTCTTGGTACTCAACTGAGATATGGAACTTATGCTAGTTGCATTATTTGCTTCTCCTGCCCCTTTGCACCATGGATGTCTGTTTTTGTGGACAATTAAAGTGGTGAGTCAGTGACTTGTAAATGGAATATTACAACATTGATGTCTATCATTCAAAGGCAATCTTGACTTGACAGATTTACTTGAAGGATCTAAGTGAGAAGTAAAATATCACCTCACCCAAACAATGCCAGAAGTTTTAAACAGCGAAACATCAATCATCTAGTATATATGAAATAAATATTGAGAGGGATATTGCAGGGATGATTTGCAAAAGGTCTCAAGCAGCTTATTAAACATCAATCACATATCTGCTGTATGTATACAACTGTATTCTTCATCTCAAAGGTGCTTTTTCAAGAGGCAACTGGACTTTCTGGATAAATTACTGTACTGATAATGTATAAATACTGAATTAGCTTCAAACTTCATAATGCTTAGAATTGAACACTGAAACGAATGGGTTAAAATAATCTTAGCATCACTGGAAGCTTTCAAGAAGACTGCCATTTGTCAAAAATGGTGTAGGGTCTCCTGCTTGGGTGGAGGGTTGGATTAGATGACCTACAAGTTCCCTTCCAACTCTGTTAATCTGTTAAGCCTATTGCATTAGCTATGAAAGAAGAGATTTCCATATAAGAAACCCCCCCCATTATCGAAATAAATTCTCTAATAAGCAGCAATAGCTATGCCACATATTTTGTTCTTTACAGATAAATGTTATCTTGTGTGGAAATTGGGATAGCACTTCTGGCCCTAACCCCATTCTTTGTGTGTTTTGAGATCCTGTTCTATATGGAAGTTGGCAATATAGCACAGGCAAACCAAAGTGCACAAATTCTGGTTGCTTGACAGTTGCTAGAAATGTGGAAGGGAAAGGTTTTAAATAATACCTGTGTGTTGGAGCATGAGAATGGCAGATATTCATATATGAATGGGTTCTTGAATGCATCAAGAGTAGGGATATGGTCAATAACTGGATCTGGAGACAAAATTTCATAGAAAAAGGCAGCAGAAAACTAATACAAATACTGTATATATCTCTTAACTTCAATGGCTCAAGCAGTTTCAGGGTTTTATATGTCAGTTTGAAGACCACAGTGTATGGCTGAAGGATGACTGGAAGTTGTTTTCTACTTTACAAACACAGAGGCATTATAACCTCGGCAGCCCATTCTGTTTGTTGTTTTGGTTGAACAATCCACAAGGGCAGCTGCACATCTTACAAAGCATTAGAATAATGAAGTTTCAAGGTTACACAGGCACCAATTAATGATGGCGTATCCTTATGGATCTATCCTGGCATATCAGAGCACCAAACTCTCATTTTGTAGAATGGGAAGTCTAATTAGAAGAGACTGTCATAACAAGCTTATCAGGTAGATTCTTTTTCACCTAACATGAAATTCTGTTGATAGAATTCGAAAGAACTCCAGGAGCAGATTGAAAAATAATCAGTATCGATAGAGACACTGAGCCATTGACAAGACATATCTTGCTAATGCTTCAAAACTGCAAATTCTTTCTTCTTTTAATTGAAAAGTTCCCGCGGCGACTAGATCAGTGCCCTGCCCCTTTAGGCAGCTTCTTTGCCACCCCATCTGGCACCCCAAATGCTACGTCTTTGAAATGACGCCGCTGTGAAAAGATTAAAATATATTTTCTACCACTCGGATGACACCAAATCTTTTCTGGATGCCAAAACGCTACTGTTGAGGAGAGTCGAAGAAATATCAATTAAGAACTCCATCGAAGGATTTGCTTATATTTTGTTGGGCCAACTCCAGAACAGATTGAAAAGGGATTAAAATAATGAGGGGCAGAATCAAAGGCATGGAAAACAGGCATAGTTCCTTTTATTACACCTATTGCCAGAAAGCGCATGTGTGAAAAATGAAGATGCTGACGGAGGATAATGCAGACTGTGGCTTGTCAAAAGCAACCCTCCCCCCGCCTGCTCTTTATGTCATTTCAAAAGAACTCCTGGAATTTTGCATTTGGGTGAAGGCTCAAACAAAAACATTTTCCTTATTTAAGAAACAAAATCAGTTGGTTTTGTTTTTCTCATAATATTTTGGCAAGGTAGAAGGACAGGAGTGAAATAAAAATACTCTCCCCTCCTCCCTCTGCAATTGATTTCCAGAAAGAAGAATTGAGTATTCCAGAAAACTATGGCAGGGAAAAGCTACAACTGAAGGACCCCCAGAGACAAAAATATTGCTAAACTTGCAGCTGACTATATTTGCATGACTACTGTATTCTTGAGAGAATAGCTGTACAGCAACATTTTCTCTCAATTCAAATTACCACCAAGTGCCTCCTAGTTAATCGGAGAGTGAATTTTCCCCCTTAAAGCATACTTCAAAATCACATTTGAAGATGGTTTTTGCTTTGCTTTTTTTCCAAAGCACAGGGAAAATTAAGCCACTGAACATACATTTGATCTAGTTATGGCTATACTGTGAAAACGGAATTTTTTCACAGAATTCATGCTAAATTATCTGAGTTAAGCATCCAGATATCCCTGTGAAAATCAAATCAAAAGAAAAAAGAGGCGGGAATAATAGCAAGCCAATTGGTTGACTAAAGTATCAAGTTGGTTTTGTGTTGTGTTTTGCATTTATTAATCAATGCGGTTCTTTAGTTTTTGTTTTCTTTCTTCTTCTCCTTCTCCTTCTTTTTTTTCTTCCTCTTCCTCATCCTCTCCTCCTCCCCCTTCTCTTTCTGAGTTGGTTGCCTGCATTGAATAATTCTCAATTCTCTACCCCTTATTCATGTGTTATAATCCTGCTCTGTCACTCAAATTCATATCTGATTCATATCATTCCTATGATATCTTCATTCATATCTGAGACTGAATTGCAGGTTCATTATGCAAAGGAGCCTAGAGGCATTTACACCTGCAGGAAAGGAGTGCTTTATTTATTTATTTAATCAGATTTTTACATGTTCCTCGCAGAGGGACTCCGGACAGTGTGCAAATAAAATATTAAGACATAAAACATCTACATAACATTTAAAAAAGCAATTAAAAATCAGCATTGAAGGCGCTAACCAGCCTCATGGCTGTGTGGTCCTCTGTGAGTTCCCAAGCAAGGTTACAGACCCATATTTTTATACCTTTCTGAAAGGACAGGACAGTGTGGGGGGGGTTATCTCTGGGGGCGGGGAGAGAATGCTCCATAGGGAGGGGCAACAGCAGAAAAGACACTCATCCTGGATGTGGCCAGTCAGAATTCTTTAGTTGAGGGCAGGGGTGGCCTTCAAAAATTTTAGCAAAGGTTTCTCTGCCCAGTTGCTGTGTGGGCGTGGGCATGATGGGCGTGGCTTAGTCAGCCTCCTGCACCATGGGGAGGGGGACATTTTTCCCTCCCCGGACTGCAGCGGCTTTCCTTGAGCCTACGGGAGGGTGAAAACGGTCTCCCCAGGCTCCGGAGGCTCTCTTGAATATGGAAACAGGCCCATTTCTGGCCTTCCTGAACTTCTGAGAGCCTGGTTTTTTGCCCTCTCCAAGCCTCTGTGTGTGCCCTGCACTTACCTGCATCCAAAACGGGCCATGTGGGGACTCCTGGGAGGGGTGGGCGGGGCGGGGCCAGCCAGGAGTGGGATTAAAATAATTTAGGCAAGGAATGGTTAATCTGCAACTTGAGAGTTGCACACATCAATCTGCCTAATTTCACAAGGACGTGGTCTGTATTCCAAAGCCCTTTGTGAGTTACCAGTTTCAAACCTGAGAATGGTGTGAGAGAAAGAGAGAGGGATTGTGAAGAAAAGGAACAGTAGGTGATCCTATCTATCTGCTTGCTATTTACAAATCATCCCTCTAAAGAAACAATAATCTTTAGGAACTGAAAAGAACATCAGCATGATATTACATTGACATGGCATTGTTTTCCATTCTGTGCCTGTGTCTGCAGATGATCTCCAAGGGGATAGGGGCCTTCACTATCCCAGTTACGAGGTAAGTATAACTGAATTATAGCCGCAGCAATTTATCAGGTTCACAGATTGTTAATTGCATTGCCAAAAGCCATCTTGGAACACAACATCTCAAGCAAATGAAGTTTATGCTAGTCAACAATTCATGTCCAATTTTTTTTAAAAAAACCCTCTCATTTGATGCAAATGAAATTAAAAAGAAATTATAGCAAATTTCATCTTCATGACATTCCTAAAAATGGAAAGATTGCTTGATTTCTTTGGTTTCCCAGTTCTTACTTATTTCATTTGATGTTTAAATACAGAAATTAACAACAACAAAAATTATGTAAAGTGACAATTTAGTTTTTGACAACCTGTTTTCCAATTAAAAACAACAACCACAGGCATTTCTGAATGAATAAATTAAAACAGACTCCATGCCTCATTGTTCTAGCACTTCCGCTTGAGTATGGATGACTTTTTTCATTTAACATGCAGGCTGTTTTAGAAATCATGTACTTTGACACTGCAACAAAACCTTCATTCTTCCGGTCTGCAAA